CATAATGCATCTGTGGAGCTGATTTTTATTTATTTATATTTCCTTATACATGTGGCAAAAGCACTTAATTCTGGAACAGCCTCCGAACAAACATCAGGGAAGGTCCCACTTTTTACACATTTAAAAAGCACCTTAAACTGTTTCTCAAAAGTTCCCAGTCATGCAATAATCACTAATTTTAATTTTGTAATGTCATTGTCTGAACATGTGTCTGTGTGTTTTAACTGATATTGTATTTTGTGATTTTGTGTTGTTTTTTCAGATGCGAATTAGCAACTATGCTAGAATCTGCCTCATTTACAATCTGTATGAGATTGTTCATTAATGTGCACCGTCCTGATTAGATAAATAGATAAATAAATAATTCCTGTCTGTTAGCTACATAACGGAGTGCTTTCCGCAGCAGTTTGAGCTAATTATTCAGAGCGTGGTAAACACGAGTTTCTAATCAGGCCATCAGCTCATCTCATCACGCCGTAAACACGAGTAAAACATAATAACAATAATATCAATATTAACTATAATAATAACAGGCTGAATTAGCGGCTCACAGTTAGCCGACAGGCTCCCATCAGAGGCTAATCAGAACCTCTGATCCTCTGATGAGCTGAACCTTCAACCCAGGAACTATCCTCCACTATCCCTTTAGTTCCCATCAGTCAGAGGAGGAAGAGGAGGGAGAGGAAGAGGAGGAGGAAGAGGAGGGAGAGGAAGAGGAGGAGGAAGAGGAGGGAGAGGAAGAGGAAGATGAGCGAGAGGAAGAGGAACAGGAGGAAGAGGAAGAGGAAGAGGAGGAAGAGGCCTCAGGTTAATGAAGCAACAGTCTGGTGGTTTAACCCTATAAAGCCAAATGCATCATATTGTTATTTATTTATTCATCTATCTATTTATTTATGTATTTATTTATTTATTTATTTATTTATTTATTTATTTATTTATTTATTTATTTATTTATTTATTTATTTATGTATTTATTGTTTATTTATTTGTTTATTCATTCCATTTTCACAACAAAACCATAAAAACAATATTATGTTTCACTAAAAAAGAAAATGTGATGGAGAACTGCCAAAAAACCCTCAAGGGGCTTTAATGAGTGGCAGTCTCCATAAATACAAATATATTTCACAATTTCAAACATCTATATGATATTGTGTAAAACAAACAAATAAATAGATAAAAAAACAACAACATTTCTTTGTATAAAACAATCTAAAATATCATTTGGACCACAAATCCATATGGAAAATTCAGACAACTTAGCAGCAGCAATTTTACTCTCCGTTTAAATTGTTCTTTAGAAGAAGTAGCATTTAATCAGTTTATCTCTATCAAGCCAAATGTGTGATATCTGATCGGGTTTCTTTTGGATGTGAGACTTTCTGCATCATTCAGTGGTAAAAGCTTTGCTCAAACCCCTGTTGTACACATTCAGATATACCTGATAACAGCCTTTCTCAACTTTGTTGTTTGTGTTTTTAAGCTGATACACTTAACTGTGTCCAATAAATGTCATTTTTATACTTTTGATCTACTCTGGTTTATTCTCAGGTTTCCAACTAAAGAATCTGGAAAACAATCTGCTCTGGTTTGTTTCTTCCATCTGAATTTAATGGTAAAAACTTTGCTCTAAATCCTATTGAACACAATCAGATACACCTGATAACAGGGGGCAGAAGATACACAAAAATAATCTGGACTTAGTAATGAATTATTAATATTAAAAATGTATTTCTTTTTTTTCTTTTTACATATTTTGTATATTACAAAAGGCCAAATAAGGAATTCAAAAAAAAAAAAAAGAATTTTCTGTTTTGTTTTATTCTTGGATCAGGCTTTAAAGGGTTAATGGGAGGGGCTTAAAAAATGACCAAACAAATCACAATAATTTCAAACAATTAATTTTAATATGGTTCTGTACAAACTAAAATATATTTCAACTACTTAAAATGAAACAGAACATGTGAATTATTGCAAAAAGTCAACTTAAATGACCACTACAGATAATTACAGCATTTCTCAGCTTTGTTGTTTGTTTGTGTTTTTATGTTTATTTCCCGAGCTGGACTCGGATCGTTGATTATCTGGAAACCACATTTGAGATGAATTGGAAGGATTCTCTCCATTCTGACAGGTCTGGATCCAGCCGCCGTGAGGCGAGATAAAAGAGAGAAAACACGTATATTTACTTATCATAAAGAGACAGAGAACAGCACATTTATTTATCATAAAGCAGCCAGATCTGCTCGGTTGGAAACCAGGAGAGAGACGTTTGAGTCTGTGTGAGCTTCAGAACGCAGATTAGCTCCAAACACGATGATTTAGCAAAGACTCTCATCCAAAGAACTGGAGAACCACCAGAGAAATCCCCGGTTTGCAGTTATGGGCTCAGCGTTTGTGACTTTGAGAAGTCAGAGACACAGGAAACAAACTGAGGCGTTTCCCATCATGCAGCAGGATCCAGTTAGAGGATAAACGGGGAAGGGATATATCAATCTGTTTTATTAAGGTGGAAAAAAACAAAAAAATCAAGGTGAAAACATTTGTTTTTGGTCAAAAATATGTTTATTCAGTCATTTTTTCAGATGTCAATTCAAGTGGACAGCTTATAATTTAAGATTTTACTACTGATGCAACACTGAGCGTCACAAAATGAACTTATTTTATGAACTTATACTGGTGGAAGATATCAAGATACCAACAAGATATTAGGCAAGGCCAGTTTATTTTACAGCAAATTTCGCGTGCAAGACAATTCAAAGTGCTTCACCGAGAATTCAAAAGCGGGGAAAGAAAAGAAAAGAAAAATGATCAAAATTAGACAGATGAAAAGTGAAGGGAGCAGATAAAATTCATTCAGTTTCCATCTTACAGATGTCCTGGACACAGGAAGCAAACTGAGGCGTTTCCCATCATGCAGCAGGACGGGGAATTAATTCAATTCAATTTAAATTAAATTGTATTTCTATAGCTCCACATCACAACAACAGTTGTCTCACAGCTTTCCAAACAGAGCAGGTCAGACCGACTATGAAGTTAAATATCAATTAATCTATCAATCTGTATTATTAAGGTGTAAAAAAAACAACAAAAAAAACAAGGTGAAAACATTTTTTTTGGGTCAAAAATGTGTTTATTCAGTCATTTTTCCAGATGTCCATTCAAGTGGACAGCTTATGATTTAAGATTTTACTACTGATGCAACACTGAACGTCACAAAATTAAGATATTTTGATATTTAACAGGATGCAGAAACACAATTGTTCTGTATTCTGTTCTAATATTCAATATCTATATTAATAGATTGAAAGATAGATATATCAATAGCCCCATTGGGAGACCAGAACTTGGTTTAGTTCTATTAAATACCAATTAAAGGGTGAGGAAAATGGTAGATAAGAAGATATAAAAGGAAATTATATTATATATTATATTCCTGAGCCAAGAAACTTTGAGATGTCCCATAATGCAGCAGGATCCAGTTAGAGGATAAACGGGGAGCCTAAATAAATATGTAATAAGCATAAATATATAATAAGTATAAAAATGACATTTATTGGACACAGTTAAAAACATCAGCTTAAAAACACAAACAACAAAGCTGAGAAATGCTGTAAATAACTGTTGTGGCCATTTAAGTTGACTTTTTGTTATTCACATGTTCTGTTTCATTTCAAGTAGTTAGAACCATATTGAAATTAATTGTTTGGGATTATTGGGATTTATTTGGTCATTTTTTAAGCTCCTCCCATTAATTTGGGGTGTGTGGTTTGTTTGTCAGGTGTGATGACGGGAGGTTTGGAAACACTTTTGTACTACTTTTCAATCACATTTTTTACTTTTAATTTGCATCAAAGTTATAACGAATTTTGGGTTATTATTTCCCTACAATTTTTCTTTTATTTGTTGAAGAATCTGGTTTGCAAATAATAAAAGGCACTGACAATAACTTTCCGTATATATTTATCTATATATACACATATATAAAATGTATATATATATATATATATATATATGTATTTTTTATATATATATATATAAACATTTACATATGAATGTATAGGAGTATGTAGGAATTTAAACAAAATCCAGATCATAAAAAAGTTTTTTTTTTTCATTCATAACCATCATAGTTTATCACAAAAACAGAATGGAGCCTTTAACTTTTGTCTCAAACAAAAAATGTTTAAATACAAATATCTGCCATCATGAGTTTTACTCATTTAACCTTTTAAAGCCTGATCCCAGAAAAACAGGAAGAATATTGGATTTTTTTTGTCTGAAGTCTTTCTTTGGCCCCTCAACAACATATGAAGAAAAAAAACTTAAATTATTTTGATCAAATTAGCGTGCAATAAGTCAGAAATCTATGTTGGTGTGGTCTTCTACTGGCTGTTATCAGGTATATCTGAATGTGTTCAACAGGGGTTTGAGCAAAGCTTTTACCACTGAATGATGCAGAAAGTCTCACATCCAAAAGAAACCCGATCAGATATCACACATTTGGCTTTATAGGGTTAATCTGATTAAATGCTACTTCTTCTAAAGAACAATTTAAACGGAGAGCAAAATTGCTGCTGCTAAGTTGTCTGAATTTTCCATGTGGATTTGTGGTCTAAATGATATTTTAGATTGTTTTATACAAAGAAATGTTGTTGTTTTTTTTATTTTTTTATTTGTTTGTTTCACACAATATCATACAGATGTTTGAAATTGTGAAATATATTTGTTTTTTATGGAGACTGCCACTCATTAAGCCCCTTGAGGGTTTTTGGCAGTTCTCCTAATATTGTTTTTATGGTTTTGTTGTGAAAATAGAATGAATAAACAAATAAATAAACAATAAATAAATAAATAAATAACAATATGATGCATTTGGCTTTATAGGGTTAAACCACCAGACTGTTGCTTCATTAACCTGAGGCCTCCTCCTCCTCTCCCTGCTCCTCTTCCTCTCTATCTTCTTCCTCTCGCTCCTCTTCTTCCTCTTCTTCCTCTTCCTCCTCTTCCTCCTGTTCCTCTTCCTCTCGCTCCTCTTCTTCCTCCTCCTCCTCTTCCTCCTCTTCCTCCTCCTCCTCCTCCTCTCCCTCCTCTTCCTCCTCCTCTCCCTCCTCTTCCTCTTTCTCCTCTTCTTCCTCTTTCTCCTCTCCATCCTCTTCCTCTCCCTCCTCTTCCTCTCCCTACTCTTCCTCCTGTTCCTCTTTCTCTTCCTCCTCTTCCTCCTCTTCCTCCTGCTCCTCCTCCTCTTCCTCTCGCTCCTCTTCCTCTCGCTCCTCTTTCTCCTCTCCCTCCTCTTCCTCTGGTTCCTCTTACTCTACTTCCTCTTCCTCCTCCTCCTCTTCCTCTTCCTCTCCCTCCTCTTCCTCCTCTGACTGATGGGAACCATAGATAGTGGAGGATAGTTCCTGGGTTGAAGGTTCAGCTCATCAGAGGTGGATCAGAGGTTCTGATTAGCCTCTGATGGGAGCTAACTGTGAGCCGCTAATTCAGCCTGTTATTATTATAGTTATTATTGTTATTATTGTTATTATTGTTATTGGTGTTCGTGTTTACGTGATGAGATGAGCTGATGGCCTGATTAGAAACTCGTGTTTACCACGCTCTGAATAATTAGCTCAAACTGCTGCGGAAAGCACTCCGGTATGTAGCTAACAGACAGGAATTATTTATTTATTTAATCAGGACAGTGCACATTAATGAACAATCTCATACAGATTGTAAATGAGCCAGATTCTAGCATAGTTGCTAATTCACATCTGAAAAAACAACACAAAATCACAAAATACAATATCAGTTAAAACAGAGAGACACACGTTCAGACGATGACATCATAAAAATAAAATCAGTGATTATTGCATGCCTGGGAACTTTTGAGAAACAGTTTAAGGTGCTTTTTAAATGTGTAAAAAGTGGGAAAAAATCACATAATACAAAATCAGTTAAAACAGAGAGACACACGTTCAGACAATGACATTACAAAATTAAAATGAGTGACTGCATGACTGGGAACTTTTGAGAAACAGTTTAAGGTGCTTTTTAAATGTGTAAAAAGTGGGACCTTCCCTGATGTTTGTTGGGAGGCTGTTCCAGAATTAAGAGCTTTTGCATAAGGAAATATAAATAAATAAAAATCAGCTCCACAGATGCATTATG